ACTTCAAGAAAATACGCTAGACTTGCAGACGAGAGGACGTATCTCTGCCAAACGGAAGCAGAGACACGTGAGAAAGAAGGGGTGTGCTCGTTAGTTGAGGACCGTGAGAATGAATGGACTTGTAAAGCGCCAGTGACGTCAGCGGCAACGACGGGAGGGCAGAATATCTTTTCCGCACCAAGTACATTTGTGGTAATTTTTCCGATTATCGTCGCCGCCTAAAATTATTTTTTGCTCACTCATTTTTCTTAAATATGCCTCATATTTTTCTCGACGTTGCCACATACAATAGAAAGTTATTTGCTGGAAAATGATTTTGTGCGGCAAGATAATCGGAAAAATTACCACAAATGTACTTGGTGCGGAAAAGATAGTCAGCCGACGGGAGCGATCCCGAGGCACTACGCGGTCTTTAACTGGACTGCATTTTGCAATTTGGAACTATAAATTCTGGCCCGGTTTAAAAACAATGTATACGCCATTAGTTTCCCTATACACATAAGTGTTTTTTCAGATGAGCCAGAATTTATAGTTCCAAATTGCAAAATGCAGTCCAACTCATGAGCCCTGTTCACAACGCTCTTGTCTCGTGCTCACGGCTCCATGAGTGCCGCATACAGCTGCCCCTTAGTTCCGCTTCATAGAATGTAAAATTTCGCTTTTCCATATACTCAAAGGGCATTACGTCCACTGTCACACTATTTCTCGTTCACTAAAGCTAGAAGTCGAGAAAACGGCAACGTTTGTGCGAAGATCTAAAGGCCGCGCCGGTGGTGCGGCCGGTGGAACAGGAACTTAAGTGCCCGCTATGAGACGTTCGACTCAACTTTTTGCATCAAGAGCAGATCTTGTTTAAAACACCAATTTTTAAGTTTTACGCGACGGGACTTTAAAACTCCTCGAAAAGTAACTTTGCCTCGCTCCGCTCTTCGCTTTATACCTCGTTCCACCGTTCTCAGCTCATTTTTTCTCCGACACCAGTGTCAACCCGTTGAGTTTCACGCCTTTTTCAGTCACGAGCTCCCCTCCTTTTCCGCAGGTTCCAGTCGTAATTTTGTTACAAAAAAGAAGAAGGAAAAAAATCTATTATTTATTGGACTACTTACTTACGTCCGTTTCTTCACCTAATTTAGAACGAAGACTACACAGAGCATTGCTGAGAAGTTGAAGACCGTTTTATAATTTTTTTTGGAAAAAAAAGAAAAAAGAATGATCGACCATTTACTTGGGCTCCTTATAACTGTCCATTTCTTAATATAATTTATAATAAAATCCCTACAAAGAGTGGAAGATCAGTTCAAAAATGTTTATTACAAAAAAAAAAAAAAAAAAAAAAAAAAAAAAAAAAAAAAGCACGCAGAATACTCCTTTTTGGAGGGACCATTACTGGAGGGATATTATGCAACCAAATGTTTAAATCTACCAAAATGCATGTGTTTCGACGGAAAATGCCGCCTAATGACATCACGAGGCGTGAATGATCGATATTCGATATCTCCTCATTTGAAGCTGTTAAGAATCGATAATGAAGGTATTCGTTCCCTGGTAAAAATTGACAGTAGAATCTGTATTCCAAAGTACCATAGACCTACAGCCGGCTGTAAGATTTCCAATAGCTTCTATAGCCGGCTACACAATTTCTTATAGCCTTTTATAGCCGATGGCGATTAAGCAACAGCCAGGCGATAAAGTGTATGCTAAGCGTTACGAATTACGGATGCTAGGTCTTAGCGAGTTTTTGGAATACTGCTCTCTTTTTGGGCCGTAGTATCTTGATTTATTTTGCGAGGAAAGCTCCGTACTTTTGATGGATGCCTGCCATTACTAATATAATAGAGCGCCTTCAGTTTCGTATGATACTGTGCAATACCGCTAGTGTGAAATAGTTGCTTCAAGCGCCGTGGCAGGCGGGCAGCCAGCGCGAAACACGCATTGGCGCCTACAAACCTAACAGGGATACTTCACGCGTTGCGCAATGCGTGAAGTATCCCTGATAGGTTTGTAGGCGCCAGTACGTCGCCGCTCCGCTTTGTGTTAGGCTCTAATATTTAATCTGCGGAGTCAGCGTTATTCAACTCATGATTTTGAAATGTTTGCACATCCTGTATGGATTATTCTCATTTTAATTGATGAAAAAAAATATGTATTAAAGGAAAATATAATGTAAGTTTTGTAAATATTAAGGTGGTTTCGTATCAGACTTAATGATTTCCAAAACACAAGAATTTCTACACAATTTCTTATAGCCTTTTATAATCGATGGCGAAAAAGCAACAGCCAGGCTATAAAGTGTAAAGCCCGACGTTAGGAACTATAGCCCGGCTGCATAATTTTTTATCGCTTCGTATAGCCCGGCCGTATGATTTTCTCCACATTCTACAGCCAGCTATATGATTTTCTGTAGCCTTCTTTAGCCGGCTAGAAGAATTCCTATGGTATTTTGAAACGCAGCTCTTATCACAAATTTTTACCACGGTGCGAACACCCTGTGTTTACGGTAGATCAATCGATACATCGCAAAGTACGCCACGCCTCTCCCTCACTTTTAATCCATTTTTCTACAATTTCTTGTATCAGAGAAAAAATTATAAAAAACACTGCGAACATGGCTCACTTCTCCGATGCAAAAATACAACGAAATTTCGTGCAAATTCTCCATTAGAACTTATTTAAATTATTAACTGGCTAGGAACATTCAAAGTTTCATTGCGAAATTTCCGCACGGGAAAAAAAGTCGCTTGGATCTAGAGTCCTGACTCTTGAAAACAATGACAAGAAAAAAAAAATACTCTTGATTCAATCGGATTTTTGCTAGACTCCAAAAGCAATCCGCTTAAATTAAGAGGCTCGGTTCTCGATTCAAGCAAAAATCCGATTGAATCGAGAGTATTTTTTCATGTCAATGTTATTAAGAGACTGGACTCAAGATCCATGCAACTTTTTTTCTAAGTGGTGTCCTAACCTGTCGGTGGGGTGGATTTTTTTGGATTTCCTCGGACTTTTCAAGGAGGTTTAACCCCGAATGAGGAAATTTCAGGTGGATTCCTGGGGCAAAATACATCCTCGGCGTGGGTGAACTCAGATGAAGACATCTCTTTGCTTAAGTTGGTGTACCTGAAACCCGAGGCAATCGAAGATGGAGAGCGTTAGAGACGGAGCGTTAACAATTCAGCACAGCGACGCGACCGACGCTAGAGCAGGGAGGAACAGTGGCGTGTACGCTTGGGTTTATCTCAGCAACTTCCCTACAATTTTTATCTCTTTGCGCATCCTTCCCCCTTCCCCCCTCCCCGAATGATCGACTTACGACTGAAATATTAATGAAAGCGGTTTCATGCAGTTTGCCGAGGAAATCGGAAGCACGAAGCATTTCCAGGACTCCCAACTCCGATCCGCCCGCTTCTCTGCAATCAAGGCGAGCTCCGAGGAACTGCGGGAGAACACCCCCCCCCCCCCCCCCNGTCTCGACCCACCCTTTCGGGACAAAAACAAAGATCGGATGAAAGAATATACATTTTTGAGAGCGCATACTTTCATTCGAAGAAATGTAGCGGTTAAGTAGAAGTTAAGTTCGAAGATAAACCCTACAATCCCAAATATCGGTAATCGCAATAAATTGAGATTTTATGGGATAATGTATCGCGACTTTATCGACGTCGATTAATTGAAATTTTAAAGAATAAAAAATTGCAATAAATTGCACAATCATCGCATGAATTTGCAATCAAATCGTCATAAATTGAGATACAATTTCGACCAGATTGAGGATAATCGCTCATATATGTAGATGTTGATAATCCTAGCGAATTCATCGCCACACAATCGTAAACAAATCGCAACTTAATTTCAAAAAATCGCGATTTTGCCATTGTAAAATGCTACCTGGGAATAGCCGAAAAGCGAAACCGCGACTTTCGTTTGCGAAGTTGCAAACTTCCGGTCATCATTTATTTTCTCTTAGAAAAACTAGTCAACGCGATACCGTGAACACTCCCTTGATAGCTTCTCTCTGTTATCGGAATATTTCGCGTAAATTTCAAGCCATGAAGTTGGCTTTGCTTCTCTCCGTAAAAATAAAATAGGAACACAAAGTTTAAGACATCGTAACTGCGGAGATGCTGCACTTTGGACATCGACTATTTTTTGCTTATTGATGATTTATAAGCGACTTTCTGAGCATTTGGACGAATTTCTGTCAAACGGAACCATGTGCATTAAGACGTGAGCCCTGAGACCCATAAGAATATATGCATAAAAGGGCTCACGTCATGATGCACATAGCTCCGTTTGACAGCAAATACGTGCATTTGATTGGCCGCATCATGACCGATGAGGGTCCAATCACGAAGCTACCCACACTAATTCGTCAAATTAGGTATTGCGAGTCAAACAGAGTGTTCGGAAAGTTGTTGTTGATGATGGGTGTGATATGACTTTTCGGCCAATCGGCTTCCGTAAATGGAGCTTTCCAGAAACTAAAAATATTTTACAGACTTCGTAATTCTTTCATACAAACAATGCAATCAGGTTCCGAATTAATTTTCGAAGTCTAATGTTATTTTCACGACATATTTTACTATAGCATCGCTGGTTGATTATTTACTCGTATAGCATTTTATCGGGATATGGTTGTACAGTGTTATGGGTAAATCAGTTGGCATCACCGGGAAGAAAGATTGGTAGAATTTACCATTCCTTCACGCTGTATTTTACACAGCGTGAATTCAAAGTAGATTCTGCCAGAGGAATGGTTACCTATACCAGTATATAGTAACGTTTACCTTTCTTCTGGCAGAATTGACGCTGTGTGAAACACAGCGTGAAAGAATGGTAAATTCTACCAATCTTTTTTCTCAGAGGCAAAGCAGGTTGGAAACATGAATCCAGGGCCAGGCGACTCGCTAAAATTTATATGAGTGGAGGAATATCTTGAATATATCTCATTGTTTTAGAAATTTTGAAAGAAATTTAATGGAAATGAATGCTTTCTTTTGTTTCAGATGAAGTGGTGGAATTTCATATTTGCCGTGTTAGTGATCTCAATCGCGTCCGCTCTCGCAGAAATCTACGAAGAGACAGAACACGAAGTCCTCGTCAGGAATGTACGAGGAGTCAAAGAAGAAAAAGGCAAAGGTAAGCTTCCATTCCGATTCTAATTTGCAGTAGACGACCTATTTAAGTAGAGAAACTAATGGTACATACATTGTTTCTAAAATAAGTCAGAATTGCTTGTTCCTTGCTACAGGATGTGATTCATTTTAAAAGGAGAACCGACTGATGCCAGTGGAAATCTCGATCACCTCGAAACGAATTGTTATGAGTTCTCCTTTATAAAAGGGTGATCAGGCGCAGGTGCCCTCTACTTGCCGAGCTTTGAGCCAGAGGGGCGTAAATGCATTGCAACGTTGTAAAGTTTTGCTCACACTCGAGGAAATTTCCTAAATGATCAACGGGAAATTCCTGTTAACAGGGCCGGATTAAGATGGTGGCCACATGGGCGGCAAATTTTGCAATCTTTTTGAATGTAGGTATCAAAAAAAGGGAGAGAAAAATCGGATTCAGAAAATAAATTACATACGAGAAAAGAAGACAAAATCTCTCATTTCTTGAGAGTGAAAGTATAGTAATTTCTAATTTTGTCGTCTTTCGGTGATACAAGAGACAACACCTTTAATTAGTCGAGTTAAGCGAGAAACCAAACACGCAATTTGACCTGGAACGGAGCGATGCGGCGGTCGGCATGAAACGCATAGCGCCTACAAGACTGCATGAATACTTCACGCATTGCGCCAAGACAGTGCGGTTGGGCAGCGGCGGAAGTTAAAATTATTAACCGCACATTTATGTGTGTTCTTTCATAATTTTTTCGTTCGTTTTGTATAAATGGAAGGCCTTGTCCAAACAGGGATGGATTTACGGAACTAAACTTTTGTTAATGTTGACAGGGCTTTCACAAAAAATGTGCCCAACACGAGTAAACGCGTCTCATCCACCCCTCCTCCACCGGCACGTTCACTTGATGGTTTTCATAGATCGTATTCGACAGATCATACGGGTGATTTTATATTGATATCGATTGGTTCAATATGTAACCACTGCAGCCTCAAAAGTCAATTCAGAAATCTAAGGTAACGAGTCTTATGTGATCGAATTATTATTCTCTCGAGCACAATATGCCAATGAAAAGTGAAATTGTTAGGAATTTTATCATTTTCAGCTTTTCCGAATTAAATCCTAAAATTTTTGTTAGAGGTTATGTTCTACTGTTTTGAACCAAACGATACATCGAACCACTGTCGAATACGATCTATTGATGTTTCAAAACGAATGAGATGGAGGCGGAAAAATACAGGCGGCCCATGAGCGGCAAGTAGGTAAAGCCGGCCCTGCCTGTTAAATAGATCGCGACAGAAATTTTACAACGCAACACCTTGTTTCAAACAGTATTTCTCTTACCTCAAAGAGATCTTATATGTAACTTTATAGAAATTTCCGATTGGAAAAAAAAAATCGCTTCAAGGCACACTTGACAGGAGCATTTTGCTCAATGCGAAAACTTATCTATTCATTGGAGAATGGTTGTACACCTTCCTTTAAATACGATTAATTTGGGTAAATTTTCTTTTCTATTTGAAAAGAGCTCCTGAAATTTTTCTACAAGTTTATGCAAAACATGCAGTCGCCGATGAGTAAAACAAATCAAGCAAGACTTCACAAAGCGACAATGTGATTGAACCACTAAATGGAGTCATATACATTCATTTTGAGTTAGGTATTGTCTGATTTCTTTAAAAAAAAACAACATCAAGGCACTGAGACATAGTTAAGAAACAAGATCTCTGTAACTTCAGAAGGGTCTACGAACTTACATGAGCAGATCTGAATCTGAGTGTATGCTCAGCATTCAACGTGCATTTTCTGCTCGTAAGCCTACTACTTGCAGAACTTTGTTAGGGCCAAACTGTGCGGTCGTCATATTGAACCTGAAACAGGAGCAGAAAAAAGAACATTGTCAATACTTTTAAAGGGCATTGAAGAATGAAAAAAAAAATTGTAACTTCAATTTCAGCCATTGTAAATTGTCTTCGTATCCCTGGAAAAGCTTATCGTTGAATTTCCGACCCTTTTCTGAAATACCCCGATTTCGGCGTTGCTTACCGTATCTTCATGGCAGCAATGTGTTAAAAGTTGAGACTCTGATCTCATTACTCCTTCGAACTTGGATCTTGACTTTATCTCGACGCGATAACTTCAAATGAGACGTCCCCATGACATAAATATCGATCAAAAGGCACCTCTCCTCAAAAAAAAAAAGAAAGAAGAAAAAAAAGTAAACATGTAGTCGGTCATATCAACACCTGCCTCAGCGTATATTTTGTCAAATCCGCTTTTCATGACTTTCTCATTTTCTGAACGTGCGCTTAAGAAACGTGGTTACTAAGGCATGAAAACGACTTTCACAGCTTTTTCTTGCATACAATCAAGGCTCGTCAAGTTTTGTTGAATCTGAGTGATGATTAAGGGACGGAGATCACCACTTCGCCAAGCTTAGTGTTCGTGTTGCTACACATAAAAGTTTGATTTTCCCCCATTAATTCTAAGTTTACAATAACCATCTTATCTATCCTTAAACACTCTCTGTGACGTAGTGGCAATTTTTATCTTTAGGTAACTTAGCTTCAGCCTAACTCTCCCTTAAATATAGTGGTGCTTCATTTGAGGAGAGTGTAATTGCAGATTCCACACAAAGAAGAATCGATTTTCAACCTAACTTTCAATTCTGTTTGATAGGCAAAAAACTACCGCTTTGTTCAGCCAGTTATTTGTTCATTGATCACCCTCTGATCCTCTATTCATTTGCAGCACCCACAATTTCATCTGATAGGCAAAGCAAAGTGAAAGCTTATCAAAATTCCCCCACAATATCATTATGAAGCTAGATGGTTTCCGGAGAGAATCGGGTGATTTTTCCACAAAATTCGATGATTTTTGCGAGAGGGTTTTACAGCACTTATTAGAGGTACCTGAAATGAGTGAGGGATTGGGGGTGGGCGTGTTCATTAAAGGGACCGGGACCCTCTGGAAGATCAAACGCGAAAAGTTGAAGGAAGCGGCATGCCACGAGCACATCCTAATGAGAGAGCGCTCCTGTAACATCGCGTCGCGGTGCGAGCTGAATCAATGATTTTTCCGAGTTTTCCACGAAAGAAGCCCAAACGAGACAGAGAGTACACCAGGGCAAAGCTTTTCATGTCACAGAGAGGAACAAGATAAACACGGCGAGTTTTCCCTGAATTCAATTCCCATCTTCAAAAAAGTTTTCCAACCTACGTCAATAACGCCTTATCAACTGAGGTTTGTAGGGATGACTCATTTAGCCTTACATACTTACATTTGGACGAATTTGAGCGGAATTCGACTGACTCCATTACACGTTGCCTAGTTATACTTTTTTTGATGGAGAATTAAATAACTCGACACCTTTAGACTTTCTATGAGTTTACTTTAAATTATGAAAAACAGAAACAAAAAAACACTAGAAATATGGCCGGAACATTGAAAATAACAGGATGGAAGAATTGGGAATTTGGAGATTTCGAATTTTTGTCATTGAACTTTATTTTTAAATAAGGATCTACAATCTCTGGCTCATTTTAGAAACAACACAAACGCCATTAGTTTCCATATCGACGGTGTAAGTCAGAAATCGCATAACTCGCATGCGGTGTCTGAAAATCTCCGCCTTTATGTTATTTTTTTGAAGGAGAACAAGTTGACATCATTCCTTGAAGTTTTTTAGAATTTTCTTCGCGCAGAGAGGAAAAATCAAGGCAGTTTTAAAGAATTTCCGTTGAGTAGTTTTCCGTTCAAAAAATGAAGTATGACAGGAAGTCTACGACGTTGCATACCGAGTTGTGTGATTGCCGACTTACACCGTTGGTATGCCGAAAAGAGTATTTATGAATGAGTTATAGAAATAGAAGTTTTTGATTGCAAAATGAAGTTCAGTTTGTTTTGCCATGATTTCACTGCGGTACAGTGTGGACCCAGCACAATTTTTCCGTCCTCATGATGAAAATAATAATTACAAATTTTCAAGTTTCATAGTTTTGCCTTTAAGAATTAAACATAATAAAAAATGGAATGAATAAAACATCGGAAAAAAATTAGACGACTAACGACAGTTGGGCTCATTTTCATCAAATCCGTCCATTTACTTTTCCCATTGAATTCGTAATATCTAATGAAATACGGGTTAAATGAGGAATTTAGAAATTATTAGGAATTTTAAGGCAACCCGGAAAATTTTTGGGAATTCAGCAAATTATTAGCTCTTGGAAGAATTTTCGCTAGAAGTATGAAATTTGCCCTTCTGATGCGAGGGAAAATTGAGCGTTTCTCGGAAAATGGGAAAACCTCCGGATCTGAAAGGTATAGAGTTGTATAGCTTCTCTCCCATCAATCATCACCGATAATCAAGGTAAGAAAGTATAATAATGGACTTACTTCTGCCAAACGGAACTGCGCATTAAGAAGTAAGCCCCGAGACCCATAAGTATATGTGCATAACAGGGCTCACGTCATAATACACTTGGTTCTGTTCGGCAGAAATACGTCCAAATGGGATTTCTGTTAAACCGTAACCCTGTAATTATATGAATATCGCGACATTCATAAACGTCAGTAGTTTGAGACAGGCGGGAAAACAAGATTTGCCTTCAATTTCGCGGGATACCACATACCTACTCCGGAGTTCGAATAGTTGCGCGCTTGATTTCTGCATTGAACGATGCGAGTACAATACCTACATACATTCATAAACGTCAGTTTGCGACAGGCAAAAACCTAAGATTATCCTACATTTCCATTTGATACCACATGATTACTCCGGAGTTCGAATAGTTGCGCGCTTGGTTTCCGCTATGACCGGTGCTTATTCATAAAATATTTCTATGCGCTTGAGGCAAGGAGCATTGGACCGAGTTTATCAGAAAGGAACCAACCCACTTTTTCGAAAAAATTGAGATAAAAATATGTTTAAGTCCATCTAGTCGTTTAAGTAATTTCTCCGGCTAAAATCTGAAAGTCGAGAGAAAGAAATTAGTCTGTGAAGAGAGGGGTTCAAGTTTATT